CACACCAAGTTTCTTCATCACATCATCTGTACAGAAGCTAATACTGCTGCCTGGATCTAGAAAGGCATAGGTTTCTATGACTGTACTACCTATCTTTGATTTAACTGTCACAGGAATGACTGTAACTGCACACACGGTCTTACCGGTCCCCATGTGGCTGTGCATCTGTTGCTGTTCACTGACATGTAGAGCTGGATATTCAAGACATTTTCTCTTTGAGAACCAGACTTGTATCCATCACAGTGTAATACAGTTGGATGTCGTTTCTGACACTTCTTACAGGTTGCAAAATTATTTTTCATGTGACCATGCTTGAGACAACCAAAGCCCACTCCCTTCATTTTCAAAAACTGATAACGGTCCTTCAATGGCTGTGTACCAAAACGTTCACAGTTCTCCATGGAGTGTTGGGAGTTCTCACAGTATAAACATAATTTGTCAAATGCCTTTCTGTTTGATTGGCTAGTTTGGTTAGTTGCCCCACTGTCTTGACATCTTGGAGATCCTCATGTGTCTCTGGTCATCTCAGTAGATGTCCTGCATTCATTGCTATTCTTCCATATACAGGATGATTCATGCTCACTGCTTCTTCTCTAACAAACTTGACCAGCTGACTGAACCTAACAACAGTTGACTTTGTTGCTATTCTTCGCCACTTATCATGCATATGATATGGCAATTTTGAGACTAACATCTTCATGTTTTCTGAATAATCCAGTATTTGCATAGACTCTATATTAGTCACAGCATATTCACATTCAGTCAGGAAGATAGAATACCTGTCTAGACCCTTGATATCGTCTGCTTTTATTTTAGGCCAATTTCTTGTCTTCTTAATATACTCTGTGGCTATCAGCTCATTGTTTCCATATCTTTGATCAAGTTCTCTGATCGCTGCTGCATAACCTCTGCTTGCGTTAAGATAGCTATATCCCTTCACAATTTCATTTGCTTCACCAGATGTATATTGTCTCAAATAGTTCATTCTTTCCATGTCATCGTCTGTATTTGCAACAATTCGAGCAATGAATTGCCACTGGAAGTCATTGTATTCAAGTGGATTACCTCCTGGCTTCTGAATATCAGCTACAGGTTATCTCATCTGTTGTACTACTGCCATCATTACTTCCTGTGAACTTGTACTACCAGCTTGTGTACTACCCTTTTTATCAGTCTCAGCATGGATGACTGTGTGACTGCCCTGTGATGTATTTCTTGTATTCTCATTGGACGGTGTGAATTCTGTGGCTTCATGATTGAGTACATGCTCATTATTTTGTTTCACATATGTACATACATGTACATCAATATCTGGACGCATTGACATATCATCATCAATTGCATTCTTTAAACTAGGATTGAGATTTTGAGACACTTGTGGTTCACTCACCAATTCAGCGCGAGTGTTGCTTCTTGGTCTAATGTCACTGCTGGTTAACAATTGACTCTGATTGTGCTCGTCATATTGTGCAAGAATAGCAATTTTAGCATCAGCAATTGCAATTTGTTCTTTCAATTCAATCTCTTCCCTTCTTTCTGGCAGCTTGGCAGCTCAAACTAAGCCTTTTTAATGGCTTTCTTTGTCTTAGCCACTTCAATCTTTACTAGTAATTCTGCTCTTCTCCGTTCTCTCTTTTATGCGTGCAATTGATAATGAACTTTTGAAGGAACTAACACTGCTGAAGTTGGATTTTTTTGATTGCCTTGAAAAGGATGAAATCACTTGTGAAGTACTTTCTTCTGGTTTGATATCAGCATTCTCATCTCTTGTATGAAGGGCATGAATATTTGGTTCTGGTTTACAAAACTGACTCTCAACAAATTTCTTGAACTGCTTACATGATTTATCGAAGTCTTCAAACCAGCTAAAGAAGTCAGCTTCCTTGTCTGAACTTGACAGCAGTTCAATATACTCATCATGGCTGTTAAGAAATCCCTCATACTTGTTCATCCAGTCAATATATCCCTTTCTGATGACACTTGTGTCTTTGCCATTTACTATTAGTTCAGTGACATGTTGCCTTTTCATTTTCAATTCTCTGGATAGTTTTAGTCGATTTTCCGCTTTCAATTCTTTGTGATACTCTAGTCCTTTCACTGTCAATTTTCTATCTCTCTTACTATAAGTAGTAGTATCATCCTCTTCATAACTTGGATTTTTATTCTCTACAATAGGGAGATATTCTTGATCACTCATGGTGTATGAATGTCCTGGTTGTCAGTGATAATTGTGAATCAGTTATGGGCAATAATAATCTTTGTTCGGTTTATAGCAGCCAAAGTTCATCTATAACGTATAGTATAATGCATCCATTTGTTAGTTCGTTAATAGAGAACGTAGGTGCTACCTTCCTTTCAATTATAAATAACACACTTCTAGTTGTCAACGGTAGAGTTTATGCCTTTAAATAATAGTAAAGTTCAAGTTATATCTAAATAAAGGACCAAAATCACAACAGGCAAATAGTCATCTCAAACTAGTAATATTACAATAAGATGATGCAATTTCTAAAATAGCGAGATAACGTATGGTCATTTGTCTTTAGAATGTTTCAGATTATCCACGGTAAACATGTCAAATCACCGCTATTTATAGTTATACTTACATGTGCCGCATCCACAAATCCACGAAAAACAGAATTTCAGCTTCTTACCGAACTAATAGGCGAACCCAGGCGTTAACACTTCTTCTAGTAACTAAATATATAGTTTCATTGGTGCATTATAGCAATAAATTATTCAATATTAGCATGGTATATGAGCAAGAAACAAACTCGTACAGTTTTCTCCATGAAACAATATGGCGCCCTGACTAATCTATCTAAAAAAACAAACCGAAAATACACTTCATCGCTAGGTGGTGCTATACTAAATTAATAGAGTGCCATAACACTGTATATGGCGTCAACAGTAGTCTAAAATATCAAGTTCGGCTAGTGTGGCCTTTGTGGCTGGCAAAAAGCAAAATACTATATAATCTTTTAAATAGGCGTCAAGGAGGAGTGAAAGGCCTTAATTTGGTTGGGCGTCACGAAATGTTAGACAATTACAATCAATCAAAACAAATTTTCACATGACAACAAAAAATACTCAGTATATTTATTATGCATAATTTTTTTATAATGTTGTTGCTAACAAAACGTATATTCTAAAAGAATTTTCAAATAAAAACACATTTCAACTTAGTAGAATTCAACTTAGTTTCATCATAAGCGAATGATTTCGCTCACATGTAAACGTTCGATCTGATACGATATCCACCATGTTTGTCCAAACACTTTCGTGACTTGAAACTGTTCTTTGACCTGATGGGTCTAGTCGTCAATTTCAATTAACCAATCGAAATGCCATAGCACATTTAAATATGTTAATGACAGTTCAGCGACTTCATGGTGAAAGCAACACGAAAGAGATTTACCGATGTTCTAGTGCGATCTTTTGGCTTCGTTTTCCATGGGGAGGCATGATTTTATTTTAAATCAGGAATTTTTTTAATCAGCTTATATAGAAAAATAAATAAAAGTACTGTTCCAACCGGGTGGAATTTTTTTGGAAAAAAAAAATAAACGCACTGGTACATTTATTTGAGACATGAGAGTAACATTCAGGTTATGGATATGAGTTACTACCATCAAGACCTCATTAATTACTGTAAATATTGCTAATTAAAACATTTAATTTCAAAAAAATTAATAGTTGCTACAATATGGAATTTCCAGAATGGATGTTAACACTTGACAATACAAGCGAATTCAGGAAAGCCTTGGGCAAATGATTTTAATTTGTAAGTTTGCTAATTTGAAGCATAAGGCTTAATTGAATTGTACTTTGATATACGGAATATTGACAGAAATGCGTCTCAAAATGGGAGAAAACACAAAACGGCAAATGGTATAGATGTGTGATCTTTTATTTAAACCACTCATACTGGCATCTGTATGCAGTTCGAAGGGACGATCATAATCACAATAAGCTAGGACTGGTGGTGTTGTCAACTTTTCTATGATGGTGTTGAACGCTGATGTTACTCATCGATAATCTTCGAGATAAGAGGTACTCACAGCAATGTCATTCATAGATGATTTCTGGGCAAATGCGAACTTCACATGTAAACAATGCCAGTCCAGTAATACTGCCACTTCCGGGTTCGCAGACAAGTAGTCTCACGAAAAATGAGTGATGCCGTCTCACATTTCAAGTACCCACAACTTCAATTCAGCAACTTTCCAGTGATGAAAGTGCTCTTTTCAGTCAGCAACTTTCAGTTTCCTCTTCCGTGTCCCCTGTCAGTGAATTGCCCTGTCCCGCATGGTTTCCCCTTTTTACCTCCTCTGTCAATCCACGAGCGCGCGACCCGTTATCTCAAATTGACTAATAAACAGAATAATTAGAACAAATAATAGGTCACTCATAAATGTGACAAATAAACACTGGGCATGGCACAATACAATCAGAACTACTTTCTAGGTTGCATCACATGCGCTCCTAGATTGCTAAATGTAGAACTATTTCATAACACAACAACTTGTACATGTATGTACCATAATAACTCTATTAGACTGATCATTCATAAAACAACTTATCCACTATGTTTCGCTAGCATAGAAATTACACATGGTTACACGCGCATGCTCTGTGTTGTTGTTGCTTTTCTCCCAAATGTTGGCTGAATAAATGTTGTGTCTGCAACGCATCCAGACCACGGCCTCTTCGTGACTACTTTCACTACACATCAAAACATGGTGGCAGCAACTTGAAGTCCTGAAGATTTCTGAACAAGTGAAAGAATCCACAGACTGTCGACAGTACTGAATTCTGATCAGTAAACGCAGTGAGTGAATTGAACTTTCCCGCATTACTGTAATCACGTGACCTCGTCGTGCTGAGTCTGAACCTCTACACATAAATCCTGTGACTTTGATGTATTGACATTGTTGAATTAATTATGGCTGACCCCCCTGTTATCAATCAACAACCTGGTCTGAATTTACCAAGCCCTGTCTTACCACCAACTGCACCACAAAATCCATTGCCTGCTCACTTGGATATGGGTGACAGCGCCACTAGTCTTGAGAAATGGAAACTCTGGAAACAGATTCGGAGCAATTATATCATTATTACTAACCTGCAAAACCAAGCTCCAGCGTACCAACTAGCCCTGTTTTTACATTCTATTGGGCCTGAAGCTCTGAGTGTATACAACAGCTTTGATTATGGTGCTGGGGAAGATAAAAGTCTAGTTGATACAGTTATCAAGAAATTTGACAAGCATTTTATTGGCGAAACAAATGAAACCTACGAGAGATATCTATTCAACAAGATAGTCCAAGAGCCAGGTGAGAGTATTGATGTATATGTAACTGCACTCAAAACCTTAGTGAAAACATGTAATTTTTGTCAGTGTCTGCATGACTCTATCATCCGTGACCAGATAGTGATTGGTATAAAGGACAATGCAGTCCGCAAACGTCTACTAGAGCGTGATGTGAAATTAAATGCCTGTATTGATATTTGCCGCGGGGCTGAGGCAACTGCCTCACGACTGAAGGAAATGGGAGGTCAAGAAGAAGTACACAAGGTGAAGTCAACTTAATCCAGAGAGACAAGGAAGAAAATGGAGAAGAAATAGTCAAAGCCTGAAGCAAAAACTCGGACATTGACTGTAAATTTTGTGATTATAAACATATTTCTGACAAATTTAAATGCCCAGCGTGGGGTAAAACTTGTTCATTCTGTAAGGGTAGAAATCATTTTTCTAAGAAATGTAAGAAATCTAGTAGGGCACATGCTGTACTTAACTCTGACTATGACACTAACAGCCGACCTGACAGTGACTCTGACTCTAACCCTGGCCCTGAGTGGATATCCTGTGTAAAAGCTGACTGTTGGTTCTCAAGAGAAACAAGTCTATGCTGAAATGGTCATTGATAGGCAACCAGTGACATTTCATTTGGACAGTGGAGCTAGTATCAACTTTTGCCTGTTAGATATGTT